CCATGGTGCCACACCTCTAGAATGCCATACCCAGAGAGCATTGCTGCATGGCACCAGGAAAAACCCTTATTTTCTTCTTTTTCTGTTGAATATGTTATTTCTGCTTTAGTTGGGGTAGAGGATAGGTGCTGCTATATTATATTGATTTTGCTGAAACTGTATTGATTATTATATTGTGATGTTTTATTATATTGTGTTATTATTAGCTATTTAGGACAATAACCTGTTTTGGAAAAGTGGGAAACAAAGATTTTAAATCAATCAGTCCATCCTATCCATGGGGCTGGGGCAATGGGGAAGAGCCATGGCTCAGTGGTAGAGCATCTGCTTGGCATGCCAAAGATCCCAGGTCCAATGCCCAGCAGTGTTCCCTCCAAGCTGAGTTAGTGTGAGCTAGCTCACAGTTTTTCAGCCTCCGGCTCACACATTTTTGTCTTCGCTCAGGAAGGAGGGCTCCAGAGCAAACTAATTTATACAGCAGCCAAGTCACTTGCTCACAGCTTTTATGCCAGTAGCTCACAAAGTAGAATTTTTGCTCACAAGCCTCCACAGCTTAGAGGGAACATTGATGCCCAGTATCTCCAATTAAAAGGATCAGATAACAAGTGATGTGAAACACCTTAGCCTGAGACCCCGAAGATCCTCTGCCAGTCTAAGTAGACCATACTGATCTTGATGGACAGATGGTCTGATTCAATATAAGGCAGCTTTGTGTATTCATGTGTTCTTGCAATAATATTCCACAGGGACTTTCAGTAGGATTTATTGCCAGTATTTTAATAGGACTTAATGGCAAGTAAGTGCAATTCTGACTTCAGTATGGTTATGATGGCAGACTCTAGGTATCAAGCCACAGTATGTGACATAGACACTCATTTATATTTTGGCAGCCTGTATACAGTGAGTACTTGTTGTAGAGAGCTGTACAGTATCTAGGTTCCCTACAGCATGCTCACTGTGCAAGCAGTTATATAAATATAACTCTCCACTGAATAGATTTGGAGTATACACCCAAATCCATGCGTTAAATGGCCACACAAATTGTATTAGAGCCACTCTCCATGATAATAAAACATTCAAAAGAATCTCTTTATTTAATACATACTACTTAGCTAGGCACAGTGATCATTATTAAGGCATCTAGAAAGATGGCTCCATTCAGCCCCCTTCTATGATGTTTATATCACTTAAGAATGATATTAATGTGGAACAGTATTTGCATGAAAATTCAGGGTGTCTTGCTGCCATGTAAGTATTAAGTTCAAATGAAGAACTGATTTAGAATACAATTTAGGCCTTACGTGAAAAAGCACTCTGTTGTACTTGAGAAGCGGTACAATCCAGTGAACAATGTACTAAACAACAGACCTGGGTCAAATCACACTTTAGGCAAGAACTCATTTGGATGTCCTACAGTGTGTAATAATCTCTGGACCTCAGTTTAACCAGACAATCTTCGAATCTCCTGGCAATACCACACGCAACACCATACAATAATTATTATTATCCTCTGTGAAACACAAACAACTGTAAGGTTGGATCCAGCCAGCTTTTTCACTCAATCCCCAGCATAGCCTTTTTGGTGGTGAAAGAAGAACGCATCTTCCTTTTTCGTCCTCAGCATAGCTGGTTACATCCAACTCACAGCCTCATCTGTTGATATGGGAAGAACTAAGACAACTGTAGAATACTCCATATACAGTACAAAAGTTATGCGACAAATAATAATTTACCCGTTTCGCACATGAAGTGGTCAGCCATAGAAACCAAAATCTTCCACATTTTCTATAAATACCCTATACTTTGTATATAATTTGATGGTGAAACTTTATAGTTTCTGATGTTCTGCCACTGACCCTCCCCCCCCATCTAACAAATGGTGTCATATTACTGAAAATTAGAGTAGTGATGGAAAGCGCCATCAACTTATAAAGATCCTGTAGAGTTTTCAGGGCAAGAGATGAACAGAGGTAATTTGCCATTGCCTGCCTTTGCACAGCAACCTTGGACTTCCTCAGTGGTCTCCTATCCAAGCACTAATCAGGGCTGACCCCACTTAGCTTCCATGACCTGATGAGGTCAGGCTAGCCTGGGCCATCCAGTTCAGGGGGAAAATTACAGTACAATCAAGAAAACCAATATAAGATGAACATTATTGTAAACTGAGTTTCCATATTAATAAAGTAAAAAGGCGGCTCTTAAGATTGATCTGGATAAAAGCCAAGCATAATTTAAGCCAGCCCATTCATTCTAAGGATACAAACCTTATCACATCCAGGCCATGCTCAGCCATGGTTTTCCACCACAGGGCAGAGAGTCTCATGTACACCCTGATCCCTCAGACTATATGGCCGTGGCTGGTTGGCTCAGGCTGAGTCGGTTGAAATTAAACCCGGCAAAGACGGAGGTCCTGGGCCTGTGTCGGACCGGCCGGGAGTTAGGGCTCCTTCTCCCGACCTTCGGCGGGGTGCCTTTGGTGCCTATGCGGGAGGTTAGGAGTTTAGGAGTGCTCCTGGACTCTTCACTAACAATGGAGGCCCAGGTGGCAGCCACAGCTAGGTCAGCCTTCTATCATCTTCGGCTGGCCCGGCAGTTGGTCCCCTATCTCAGCCGCGAGGACCTGGCCACTGTGATCCACGCGACGGTCACCTCGAGGCTAGACTACTGTAACGCTCTCTACTTGGGGCTGCCTTTGTTGCTAACCCGGAAGCTGCAGCTAGTGCAGAATGCTGCGGCTAGGCTGCTGATGGGTCTCTCAAGGAGGGACCACATCCGGCCGGTGCTGCAAGCGCTGCACTGGCTGCCTATAGCATACCGGATTCGTTTCAAAGTGCTGGTTC